TTTCTATTGCTAACTCTGAGAGTCTGGGCAGGTACTTTAACACCAGCAAATATCCTTGGCCCTATTAAAACGTACCCCTAGTTTAACATCCATTAATGATTGTTATCTTAATCTTTACTATGATGGTTACAAAGTGATGGCTTTTCCCACTCCATCACTATCTCCACATTTACCAGTCAGAACTTCTCATTATCCTGGAAGCAAGAGTCTACCCACTAGGGATGGAATTTCGTCCCTTTCCAAATTTATACATTGAAGCCAGAACCCCCAGTGTGGTTATATTTGGAGATGGGGACTCTAAGGAGGTAATCAAAGTTAAATAAGATCATAAGGTAGGAGGACTCTGATCCAACAGATTTAATGTCCTTCTAAGAACAGATGCCTCAGAGTTCTCTCCACAGAACACAAAGGACACAGAGATGGTGGCTGCCTTCAAACCAAGAGAAGAGGCCCTGGAAACCTACCCTACCACCACCTGGATCTTGGACCTCCCAGCATCTAGAACTGTGAGAAAAAAAAAAAATGTCTGTTGTTTTAAACTACCCACTCTATGGTATTTAATATACCATCCTTCCCCCCATTTATTTACCTATTTTCTACTTTTTATAATCATGAACTCACTGATTCCCAATTTTAATGGTTTATAATTCATTTTTGCCCTTAATTATATGATGTTTGTCCAAGACTTGGCCATTGGGAAACCATTTAAAGTTTGTTTCTTTGTCCTCCTAAACTGCACTTTTCTTTTTATACCAGAAAGTAAGGAAGTCTTTAAAAGAAAAAAAAAATGTTCCAAATGTCTTTATATCTTCTTGCCTAAGCCTTAGAACCTGCTATTTCTCTGCATCAGTGGAGCAGCCAGCACCACAGTTCTGCTCTCTAGTTAGCCAGTGCTACGGGGATATCTGCTTGTAGTCTCCTTTAGGAGAAAGAACTAGGAAACATACAAGTGCACATACACGTACTTTAGAAATCATGAGTCTGACAAAAATTACGAGTTGTTAGAAATTTCTCTACTTCCAATCTACCCCCCCATTGACCTGTCCCAATCAATGTCCATATTTCCCTTCTTCCACAGTGAGAACCCTGGCTTCTAATCCCATTTACTCAATCCTCCAGTGTGCCTCCAGTGTACCTAAAATCCTCAGAATGGTTTTACCACACCACTCCAAAAAATAATCAGACCAACTGAAAATTCAGGATTTGTCTGACGTTCCTTACCTCTTCCCACACCTTCTAAATACCATCTCCCCCATTACTTGCATCAGTTGCATTTTTCCTTTGGTGTGATGATGTTTTCATTTGAAACACAGTTGAGTTCATTTGCTTCAGTTTTCTCTCTATCCTTACTGACTTTTCTCCAGTCCTTACTGTTTTCAAATATGTAAAATATGAGCATACTTTCCCAACCCAACTAAGTTAAAAGATAAATTCAGAAGTGTCACACCATCTATCTTCTTCTCCCACCCAACCCTTCTAGAAACCAACTTCATGGTTTACTGGTTCATCTGGCCCTCACTTGTTTTTGTAAAGATAAGGAGACATAGGTATGCTTTATTTCCCTTTCATTCTCACAGAGACTGGCATACTAAATATATTGTGCACTTTGATTTCCAGGAGATACCAATAAATGAGAAAAGCATTTAATACAATTTTTCAAGGAGACAGAATTTTCATTAATTTGATCTTTTTCTCTACCTCATCATGTCTGCATGTATCTTTATTATTTCCTTCCTTGTCTTTTTTTTTTGCATTGGCTTTGTGATTCTTTTCCAACTTTCTGAGTTGGGAATTGATTTTTTTTATTCTCTTTGGTTTGCCAAATTTTTATCCATCCCTTTATTTTTAGGCTTTGTGAAGGACTGTTTATGTGTCTCTTATATAAAAATATAGAGTTGGGGTTTGCTTTATGAGCCAATTTGAAAAGTTCTTTGGTGAGTTAATAAACCCATTTGCATTTAGTGACACGACTGATATTTGATATAATACAGAAACTACTCTGGGTTTTAATTATACATACACTGTTTACTGTATTTCTTTAGTTTTTCCTTTAAAAAAACATTCCATGTGCTGAGAAAGTTTTTCCCATTATCCTGTATTTAACTTTTTATGCCTTCTTAGGCTTTTTTTCTTATTTAACAGTATTAGATCTGTCAGCTTTACATTGTATCTTTTGAATCCCATCTACTAGGTATACAATAAGCCATGATCTCATTCTACTTCCCCTTTTCTTTACTTCTAAAAATATATATACATTTTATTTATTCATGAGAGACACACAGAGAGAGGCAGAGACACAGGCAGAGGGAGAAGCAGGATCACCACAGGGAGCCTGATGCCAGACTCCATCCCAGCACTCTGGGATTATGATGTGAGCCAAAGGCAGATGCTCAACCACTGGGCCACCCAAATGCTCCTCTTTCCATTTTTTAAAGTTGCATACTTCCTGCTTTGTCAAAACATATTACATTTTTATACTATTCCTCTACCACCTCCCCAACCCTGTTTTTGCTTTACAGTTAAATCTATGTCATGTTCACCATCAGTCCTCTTGCCCAAATTTCATCTGTCTTGTTTGCATGAAGTTCTCTAATATATTCCCCAAGAAGGATGCATGCACATACTACTCCTTTATTTCATGGACATTCATTTTCCATAGCCTTGACACTTAAGAGAATCATAGCTACATAGAAAATTTGGGATTCAGTTTTTTGAGTTTAACACATTCCTCTATTGTTTCCATACTTGTGTTATTCTGAGAAGTCTGATGCGAGTCTTACTTTCTTGCTCTGTAGGTTATTCCATCATTTTGCCTCAAGACTCAAGAGGAAGTTATCATCAAAATATAGTAGTTTTACCCAGCTATGTGCAGTTGAAGATCCCAAGTCAATTTTCCATGGCACCCACTAGGTAGGACCTTTCAACATACACATTAAAGTCCTCTTTTATTTCTGGTAACTTAAGTTTTATTTCTGTTCTTTTGCTTTTTCTTCAATCAGGGACTCCAATTATGCATGTGTTGGACTTCATTGCCTCTTCATTTTAACCACTTTTTTTCTAACCTTTTTAACTACTTGACCCCATTTTCTGGATTGTTTTCCTAATTTTCAGCCATGTCCCTTATTAAATTTTTATTTGAATTTATTTACTTTAGGGTGTTTATTCATAACTCCAGATATGAATTTTCCTTTTTCTTTCTTGTTCTAGTTTCACTTTTTCCCTTTATTGGCCACTTTCTTTTTCCATTTTTTGAATTTTTTTTTTCTTAACTAGACTCTATGCCCAATGGAGCCCAAAGTGGGCTTGAGCTCATGACCCTGAGATCAAGATCTGAGCTGAGATCAAGAGTTATACACTTGATGAACTGAGCCATGCAGGTGCCCCTCTGTTTTTGAATTTCCTATCTGCCTCTAACTCTTGCAATTATTCAGCCTCATGACTTAGGAGTAGTCAAAGTTCATGCGATCAAGAATGATGTCAGAATCTTGCAAAGAAAAGGAGACAAGCTCAAACTAAAAAACACATTTATGAACTTATTGGTCAATTAGATATTATTGCTGCTAAATATGAAGAAAATGTGGCAGAACTTTTAATGTAGATTACTGAAGATTGATATACAAATGGACCAAGTGAAGTGGTTACAAATGTAATAATGCTATACAAGATGTTATTATAAAAGACCCTGTTTTTGAAGGTGATTGTGCTCTGCTTAGATGTTCACAGTTATGTCTGGGGTTCACTGATCTGGAATCAGTGTCTGGATAAGTTGATTTATAGTTTTTATCAAATTTGGAAAATATTCCTTTAAATGTTTTGGGATTGAGTCCCACAGTGGGCTCCCTGCTCAGCAGGGAATCTGCTTCTCCTTCTCTCTCTGCCTTTCCCCCTACTCATGCTCTCTCTCATACTCTTTCCCTCAAAGAAATAAATAAAATCTAAAAAAAATCCCATCCAATAGATTTTTCACCTCAGACAACATAGAGCAGTTCAGTTTTGCTACACCTTCCATGTTCCTTTTTTGAATAAATGGAAGAATTATTAAGCTATAACTAACAGAGCTGGTAATTAAAATAACTAGTTAACACTGCCATTTCTGGGGCAATTTCAATCAACTAATTTTTCTTATTATGGGTTCATTTTCCTGTTGCTTTGCATGTCTGGTAACTTTTGACTGAATGCCAAACATTGTGAATCTTTTTTGGGTTATGGATATTTTGGTATTTCTAGAAATCTTGAGCTTTGTTCTTGGATGCAGACTAGTTACTTGAAAACAATTTGTTCTTTTGGGTTCTTTTAAGATTCCTTAGGCAGGACTGGATCAGTACTTACTTAGTCCAACCTTAGCTGTTTCCCACTATTAAAGCAAAACACTTCTATATGCTCTACCCACTTATGAATCCAGGATTTCCCTGTCTGGCTAGTGAGAATAGGTACTATACTCAGCCCTGTGTGTTGGCCACCATACCCTCTCATCATTTTGGCTGGTTCTCTCCTTAGCCTCCAGTAGTTTCCTCATGCATATGTGTACCAATCAATACTTTACTGAATACTTGAAGGGAGCCCCGCACAGATCTCCAGTGTTCCCCTTCTATGCAGCTCTCCCTCTCTGGTGCTCTGTCTTATAAACTAATGGCCTCAGTCACTCCAGGATCTTGGTGTCATCTCTTCAACTCAAGGTTTGGCCAGGTTCAACCTAGGCTCCCCTTCCTCAGCAGCTGTTTACATGTTCTTAAGGCAATTAGCTAAGGCTGTCATAGAACCTACTTCCTATGTTTCATATGTCTCATGGGTCATTGTCCTTTGTTCCCTAATGTCCAATGTCTTGTCTTAAAAACCCTCATTTCATGTATTTTGTACTTTTGGGGGAGTTGTTTCAGATGTGAGGGTAAATCTATTTCCTGTTGGAAAATCTTGGCTAGAAGCAGAAGTACCCATCATAGTTTCTGAATATGAATACATGTAGAATCTAAAGCCACCCTAGGATGAGAAGGACTCCTTACCTTATTAATGTATCATCATCCACGATGACCAACCATGCTATTTTGTCATGACTGTAATTCAAAAATTTTTCCAAAATGGCAAATGTCTTTCCACAGTGACCTAGGAAAGGCAAGAAGAAAACTTACAGTGAAATATTTTCTTTAAAATACATATATAACTCATTTTAGGGGAACCTAAGTGGTACAGGTGGTTAAGCATCTGACTTTTAGTTTCGGCTCAGGTCATGATCTCAGGGTCATGAGATTGAGCCCCACACTGGGCTCTGCACTCGGTGGGGAAACTGAGTTTCTCTCTCTCCCTCTGCCCTTCCCCACCACATTATCCCTTTCTCTCTAAAATAAATAAATAAATCTTTTTTAAAAGTTAAAAAAATACATACTTAATTCATTTTAAAACATTTTTTAAAGTTTTAAAAGTAAAACCTTATGTGCTGACACATGCACAAGTAGAAATTTTTAAAATTATCCTTTTACAATTTTTATAGACATAGTGAAGGGGTGGGGACTTAAGAGATCATGAAGTTTAAGCCATTTATTTCACACATGGGGAAATGGGAGGCCCAGAGAGAGAAAGGAGGTCACTTAGATAATCTGAGGTAGAACTAGGACTAGTACCTTCACTCCAAAGTTCTAAGTCTCATAGAAATTACAGAAGCTTGGCACCTTTCCTTAGATATTCTTACTCTGAAAGAACTGTTAGAACCCCAAGTACACATTAATAGGGTAACAGAACAGTAGTACAAAAGGAGGAGATTATACCTTCATTCATTTACTTTGTAAACACTTACTATTAATTTCCCATATGCCAGATACCCTGGCAAGTTCTGCTCTCAAAGCACAGTGTTCTTGGTGGCCAAGAGTTACAGCTCTTTGGATGCCAACAGATAAAAGTCAGTGCTTTAATGGAAGATGCTGGGGCCCAAGATAAGAATACAATGCTTGGGAATAGTACTCAAATCAATAAATAGTAATATACCCCTGATTTCAACAAGATATTTGCTGACACAATAGAGAACAAGCTAATATTAAACCACTCAATTTGACCTTTATTTTCATTTTTCTTGATCTCTTTATGAATTTTTAACCATTATTTGAAAGCCATCTCAAACTCCATTTGGAACAAGGTAGAATATAAATAGCAATAATAATATTAGACTAAACACCAATTAAGAAATCAAATGAGGAATACATTAATGAATGATTTTTAAAGGCAACCTAAATTGAAATCCAAAAAGCAAACTTGGGACACCTGGGTAGTTCAGCTGTTGAGGGTCTGCCTTTGGCTCAAGTCTCGGGGTTCTGGGATCAAGTCCCACATCAGCCTCCCACAAAGAGCCTGCCTCTCCCTCTGCCTATGTCTCTGCCTTCTCTCCCTCTCATAAATAAATAAAATCTATAAAAAAAAAATAAAAAGCAAACTTAATAAAAAAAAACCCTCAATCTAAAATCATTTTTCCAAAGCAAAAGCAATAGACAGACTCAGTAATATATTTAACCTTGTCAGAAGAATTGATAACTACAGGAATGCATATCTAATTCTACATTGTATATTATCAATCAAGGCCTTATGAGAAACGTGACCATGAATCAATCCAGATAAATTACTCGAGAGAACAAGACAATCAACTTACTACTTCTTTTTCTATTCATAAAAGAGTATGGGGAACCAGAAAACTAAAGAAAATAATGTGGTGGGAATACTAGAAAAAAAACTAAGATAAAAAGCATCTGAAAGTGAAGCGGCCAAATTTCTAATTTGTTTGTTTTTTTTTAAAGATTTTTATTTATTTATTCATGAGAGACACAGAGAGAGAGGCAGAGACACAGGCAGAGGGAGAAGCAGGCTCCATGCAGGGAGCCCAACATGGGACTCGATCCTGAATCTCCAGGATCATGCCCTGGGCCGAAGGCAGACGCTAAACCACTGAGGCACCCGGGCTGCCCAAAGTGGCCAAATTTCTACTTCCATTTTTTTAATTTTTATTTTTTTAAGATTTTATTTATTTATTCATGAGAGACACAGACAGAGGCAGAGACATAGGCAGAGGGAGAAGCAAGCTCCCTGTGGGGAGCCTGATGCAGGACTCGATCCCAAGACTCTGGGATCACAACCTGAGCCAAAGGCAGACACTCAACCACTGAGCCATCCAGGTGCCCCTACTTCCATTTTTTTTTAAATAAAAAATGTTTTAATTAGAAAACCTGCAATCTGAAGAGAAAAACAGGTATATTATCATCAATTACTAATTAAAATATTAACAAAATACATGAATATCATGGAGCTTATGTCACACATAACCATGTAGAATGTGGGTAAGTGCTACTCGAGAGGTAGGTACAAAATGTGAGACCATAAGCTTCATGAGGATAGACACCATAGGCTTCATTCCTATCTTCCCTACTTCCAGGGCTTTGGCAGCTGGCAAACAGCAGTCACAGAACAATCCTGGCTGGGTAAACTACTAAAATTAAATGAGGACAACTTTTGTGTGGGAAGATAATATTAACTTTGGACACTCCATTATGGTCATAATGAATCATTAAGGTATAAAAGGATCCATTAAATAATCCTAATTGTCATGTGCTTGGTCATATCTATATGGCCTAAGAACTTAGAATCTTTTCTTAGTATTTATAAAGCAGCTCTTAATCCAAGAGAATTGGTCCAAATCCATGGGTAAAGATGTTGGGGAGGGGAGGAAGTGAAATTTACATAAGGCAAAAATCATAGTATTTATATATAATACATTTCATCTGTATCCTTATTTACTACATTTCAGAATAGACATTCTGAGTAAGAGTAGTATGAATTAAGGACTCACCTCTATCTGTATTGGGAATCCCCAGATCTACTGTAGGAATGGAACTTTCTGCATGATCACTGTAGTATTCAATGAGACTTGCCTGGCCCGCCCAGGTCTGCTTTACAATGGGAACTGAAAAAATGAGAGGAGTGACAGTCACTGACATAGTCATGCAGGGAGACTTAGCATTCTGAAGGGCAGCATAATCACCTATAAAGGAAGAGAACCATTATTTGTTCTTCTCCAGGTGTTTTCACCTGCTAGCTTTTCCTACCCTAAGAAATGTCAGGCTGTTAGGTGATGACAGCACATGAGTGGAACCCACCCTCTTCTTGAGCCATTTTCAATGTACGTTAGAGCCCAACACTTTCCGTTCCTGATGATTCCTCATTCCATGTCCATGTAATGATACATTTTCTAGTCTGTTTATACTGTTGTGCTTAATTTTCCTCTTCCCCCCCATGGGCTATTGCATTTAAAATTCACTACTGGATTTTTAAAATGCTTCTTAGAGGAGTGGGGAATATAATTAGTTCTAAGGAATAGGAATGTTCTGTGTTTCTGGCTGAGATACAAATTTATCTCTCATACAATAGGTGTAGGGAGCTTCTCAAACTACACACGTCCACACTCAATGATTCCAACAGAACCACACAATCCTATCCAGGGCATGACCCTGAGACCCACTGCATATTCTTGTGCTGCACTTCTGAAAAATGTGGAAGAAGAAAGACTGATAACCACTGCAGATTTTTTACCTCTACCATTAAGAGATAAATTGTTTTAAGAAACACAAACAACAGAAAAATTCCCCGGTTTTCTGTAATTTAAAGCTATCTTTAAGCATCTCCAGTCTCCACACTTGATCAGAACTCTGCCTGACTACTCTTTGATATTAATTCACCTGACCAAATATCTGCATAATTATTTCTCATATACTTTTTTTAAGCCACTCTCTCTCTCAAATCTCTAAATTTTGAAAAGAGGTTTCTGCTGTTTTAATAGAAAAAAAATTGATCAGCCCTGGCAATTTAAGAATCTGAGTAGAGATTCAGAACACAAGTGAACTAGATCTTCAGGTCAGTATTTAGAGATTTTGTCAGATCCTTCATCTTTTTCCTTTTCCTCCAGCCCAAAAAAAACATATACAAAAACTCCCAATGCAATATTACCTCTAAGTGTTTGGCTATGCAAGCCAACAAACTCAGTCAAACTCAGACAGCCTTTGTCTATAAAATACAAAAGTGCACCATTTTATCTATTATTCACTAGCTTTTAAGAAAGACCCATGAATTCTGGACATTTGTTATAATCTAAATTACCTATTTTAACGCACTAAACTTTTAGACCTTAAGACATACTTCTGCAATCATAAAAAAAGCAGAGATTTCTTCATGTCAAAACGGATAAAGGTGCATAAATAACAGATAAGGCTGCTGGGGGAAGGGCAGAAAAAAGAAAAAATAATAATATACTTTCATGTCGTAGCACAATGAAAATCTTCACCTTGGCACTGCAGTGGCAGTTCGCTTTGCATATAACACGCAGGAGGACTTACCCCTGAAAGGGCTCCCTGCAGCTTGCTGCCACTAATTCACTCTTGGGTAAAATGTCCTCCCTTGCATGACGCTGGCAGAAGCTGTGAGGAAATGTCAAGAATCTTCTTCAGTCCCCAGCATTCAGCCATGCAACCTGTGCAAACGTTTGCTTTTACTGTCCTCAGCCTTTAGCCTCCAGTTTCTGTTTGCTCTAATAGCTTTATTAAGCAGGGGAGATATTTCTTCTTGGCTGATTTAAATGACATTAAAATCAAGTTGTGAGTGAGTTCTTTGCTGTACCTAACCATTTGCTTTCAGTTTTCGTTTGAAATAGCTGAAACGGAAGTTTCCCTCAAGGTAAGAATTACTGTGCGCCTGCTCCCCACACCTGGCCCAGTGTCTGGGATGTAATAAGTGTTCAATAAATAGTTGAAGAAGGACTGGCTTTTGTAGAAGTGCTAACAAAAGGCTTAGGGCTATTTTTGGAACTAGTTTAAAGGAAGGTTTTATTCATAAAGGCAATTTGTCATTTGCTACAAGACTGTTGCCACCATTACCAATTGTATAAAAACACACCAGCCATTTTAATAGAGTAAGGTGCTATGATTCTATAATCCCAAAAGCATTCAGCAGATTTTAATATCTGTCCCCTAATTACTGTAATTCCCAAGGCATTTGTCATATCTGCCAGCTATAAAGAATTTAAAGCTAATGCTAAATCTTCTGGGACAGCAAGTAAAGCCTTTATCTTCATCTGGGGTTGACTCAAAATTACCTAAAACTTTTAAAAGACTAGTCTATTTTACTATTTTATTAACAATGCTTGAATTCTAAGTTGAATTCATTCTATTTATAAAATATTTTATATTGAGGCACCATGTTCCTAAGGATATTAAACTTTGAGAAAATATTTCAATATAGTTACATGATCTATTATCTCATTTTCAATACAGAGAAGCATACTTTCTACCACCTAATAAAACTAGTGAATGCCTCTTTCAAGAAGGTCTGCCACAAGATAACTTATAATTGGAGCAAAGTAAAACTTGTACTATTAAAAAAAATACCCCACTGCACAGATGGTATAAATCTTCCACATGGCTTTACAGACTTGAAGCAGGAGGAGATGTGTCTCGCTACAAGGCACAGAACACACATTTTCACCCCTGGTGAGATTACTTGCAAAAATGATTACATATGAAAATGAACTAGACACAAGCACTGTACAGAAACTACCATGCAATCGAATGTGAATAACTCTTGATCTTAAGAAATCTGCAATTTTCAATTGACAAATAGACCTCTAGTCTCTGTATGCATATCAATGACAGAACCCTGGCTGCTCCTCTCTCCACAGGAGAGGGTTAGAGACACACCCTCTGATTTTAAAGATGAGGTATACAGAAGCCCGAAAAGCAACCCTTGGGGCTGATCTAAAACAACATTTTTGGGCAATCAGGAATGTCTTTATCTGTTTCAACAGCCAGGAGGAAAACTGAACGAGGCAGCACCTGACTCCCTCCCTCTCCTTAATAATTAATCTGATCACATCATTTGACATAGAGTGTAGCCTTTTACCTGGCTGCCTTGTAATCCGTCTCATGTCTGAAATAAGCAGACTGCACCACAGTACCTGTAAGCCTCTCTAACCAAAGAGCACCCAGCTACCACAGACCCCTTTCAATAAGTTTGTTCAGATTTGCCTCTTTCCAGACAAGATGACTGCCATAAAGATAACAGGGTATTTTGTTTTTTCAGTCTGAAAGGAATAAAGTGTTCATTTTTAGGTGCTCAGGAAGCTGTGAAAAAGGAACTAAATGCTGAGCAAATAGCAATTTTACCTCTTTAATCAGAGGAGACTGCAGCAGGAGAACATCTCACGACCCACCACCACTTGATGAACAAAACTGTGGCTGCCACAAGATACTTGAGAGATGCACAGGAACGGCATGGCAAAATGGTGCAAAAAAAATTCTTAACATTTTCTGACAGCTCACGTCACACAGTGGAAAAACACATAACCCAAGAGGAAGTGAACAAGCTGAATATTAAAACTCCAGAGACCTTCTCCTTGCTTAAATATGTTACATGCTATGCCTATTTTGCTTTATATAATACTTTTAAAGTTTCTTTAAAATCCTACTAACTGCTTGCATCTCAAGAGTGTGTTGCTATTTCGATGGTGTCAATATGTATTTCCTTCTTAAGCCAAAAGATAGAATATATTTTTGCTGTGTCCTGAGAATACTTTATTTCATTTAAATAAGAATCCAGACATAAAGCAGTTACATAAGCATTTGTTTCACTGTTAGGCAAAAAAAGGTACAAGAGGTAAAATAGTCTAATTTTGGAACTTGCCTTTTTATCAATTCTTCATTGAAAATAAAAAAAAGAAAAATGAGTTCAATGTATACATTCCCTTGCCTTGACTGGAGCTTTTAACAGAAGTTCCATCCCTCACTCTCACCCTGGACATGGCCAACATTATAAGGAGCCAGGAGTAAGAGGCATTGCTGGGGGTCCTCTGCTGTACCCAGGGGCAGTGCATCCACAATGAGAACCTGCCACCAGATATATAATGAACAGTATAGACAGCTCTCAGTTTTTCAAAGGTAAAATATACAATCTTATTTGGGTTTTTTTCCTTCATTGTCATTTGGCTTTTGTAACTTAAAGTGTTTCTACCACAAAGTGTACAGGAAAAGAAAAAAGAAAAAACCCACCTCGGTTCATGTATTCTGCTTGACTATAGCAGTTATATGCTTGGACAGGGGTGGCAGTCTAAATGCCCAGCTAGGTTTATATTTTAGGTCCTCTGTGATTTCAGTTTCTGGCTATTGCCATTCCTACTGAAAATAAAAAGCCTACTTTCCTACCTTCTGGCCAAGTCAAAAGTGACCTTGAGCCTAGCAGAACGTCAACATGAATATCAAATACCATTTATCAAGTGTTAAGATTGTAATACATCCAAGGAGATTACACTACAGGTCTGCTGTGGCAGAAAGAATTTGGGATTTGGAGCCAGAAATCCTAGTTCACCTACTCAACAGTCTACAAGAACATGGGCCAGTTGTGTCTTGTCCCACACTCAGTTTTCTCTACACTACCAAGGGAACAAAATTAATTATCACATCATAAGGAATTGTCAACATGAAGGCAGATAATACAACGTATATAAAAAAAAACACACCAGAAAACGTAAAGAAGATAAATATAGAAGCAGTTAATACGGTGTTGTCAATTTAACCGATAGGATTACTGGTTAATTTTCTGGACCATCTGGTGGTTAGACTACCTTCCAAAAGGAGGAGAGGAGCCCAGTGGCCTGGCAGGCTCATTTCCATCAAGCAACCTGGACATCAAAGTGCCTAAAATCCTGCTGCCCCAGACTATCTTTGCAAACAAACATCCAAGTTTAAAGAGAGCTTGTCACAGAAACCCAACTGTGAAAGCCTCCTAATACCTTTTAATTAAGTCTCAGGCTTCAATGACCCCAGATCCAAATTCACAGCAGCAAATCAATGCATCCAGCTTTGGGAGGTTTGGTTTTAATGTTCCTAAGAGGCTCTTATGATTTGTAATTTTTTACCCACCATTTGCTTCAACGTGGATGGAACTGGAGGGTATTATGCTGAGTGAAGTAAGTCAATCGGAGAAGGACAGTGTATGTTATCATTCATTTGGGGAATATAAATAATAGTGAAAGGGAATATAAGGGAAGGGAGAAGAAATGTGTGGGAAATATCAGAAAGGGAGACAGAACATAAAGACTCCTAACTCTGGGAAACGAACTAGGGGTGGTGGAAGGGGAGGAGGGCGGGGGGTGGCGGTGAATGGGTGACAGGCACTGAGGGGGGCACTTGACGGGATGAGCACTGGGTGTTATTCTGTATGTTGGTAAATTGAACACCAATAATAAATAAATTTATTTAAAAAAAAAGATTTGTCATTTTTAAAGACGTTTGACTCAAAATTCAAATATAAAAGCGTTTCACAGATATCTAAAATGATTATCTCAACATTATGCAAATAAAGCAATAAACTAGATCATTCAAAATTACTAAATTAAAATTAGCAAACTTATTTTTCATTTCTGTAGAATTTGAAAAATACAACAGGATTGGTCCCTCATTTTACTGCCTCACCGACACCTGAACGGTGTTTCAAAAGAGAATGTTTCAAAAGAGAAAATACCACCACCATTCTTAACATCATAAAAACAGTCTCTACTCCCAAGTGCAGCTTCAAGATCAAATATATCAATTTGAATACTTCTGCTGGTTGTTAAAAAAAAAAAAAAGTCCCCTCATTCATTTCCTTTGATGCTTTTTTATATGTTAAAAATTGTTCCCAAACACCCTTCCAGATTTTAAAATAAGCAAAAGGATATTAAAACTAGGTCAATTTTGTGAATGATGAAAATTGTAACTGCTATATTGATTTCTAATAGTCCTTAGGACTCCTTACATAATGAGTGCACATATTAGGCTGATTTAATAGGACTTGGTACTTTCTGTGACTATTTTAGGTAAACACGAAGGTTTATAGTTATGTACTTTTAAGATACTGTACACCATAACCAGATTTTAATTGATGTCAACATCTTAAACAACACTTCAATCCCAAATCATAATATTATTTTATTTGGAAAATGTTCCCCTTTAAAGTTAATTTGTAAGTATTATATTATCAAAAAATTATATAAATGAACGTCCCCCATAGCTCCAATCCCATGAAAATGACAGCTGGTTTAGAAATCTCTTTTACATAAATATCACACTCTTGATGAAATCGACAGTCTTTTCACGGAAAAAAAATTAAAATATATGCTAAAATTAGAAAATGCAAAAGACTGTCTAATTTTCAATTTGAGAAAAGTGCAGCTTGAAATAAGGCGAAAAAGAAAGAAATTATGTCTACTTATATTTAGGATGGGCTTTTTTTTTTTTTTTACATTATCACCATAACTTAGTAGAATTCTGTAATGACACCAAAAACTTGAATAAAAACATTCATCTGCATGCCAAGATTTCCTTAAGGGACCACTGTGTATAAGCCACCTGTTGCCTTTTCTGCAGTATAATCTACTCATGAGCAAATAGGTATCTTTCAAAGCTCCAATGTGCACATCTGCCATAATGCAAAAAGAAGGATTAGTCTTCAAAGAAAACATCCTTTTTTGGCAGTCTCTCACCTTGAAATCCCTTCTAACATTCTTCATACAATTCAGAGATGGCACATGGACATAATAGGACACTGTTCTGCAGAATGGATTGTTATTCATACATCGTGTCCAAGATTGTCACAGCTGCGCTTTCCCATTTCCAATTTAAAACACTGCTCTGAACAGTATTCAGAAGGGCTAGGGCCACTCATGTTTTGATACAAACGGTCCCTTCTAATTGATCTTGGTGATTGAAGTGGTACAATGAGGAATACTAAGTAACTGCTTTCATTTCAACAATATATGTATCATTATCCCTTGAGTTCCTATCTGGTTTGTACTTTTTTTAAAAAGGCAGTTGGGATTTTAAAAGGTCAACAGAAATGAGTAACACAAAACATACTTCTATCACCATGAAATTTCTTGCACGTTTTTACTGCAAAAAATATATTCTCTTTCTTCACTGGATTTCCCTAGAAAACAAGAAAACATATATGAGTCTATGTCATATTAACACCCACATCCACACCCATATTAGATCTCACATACTGTAGGGGTGACATTCCCCAATGTCAAGGACATCAAATCTGTTTCCAAGATTAAGTTTTAAGCAAAAACAGGAACTGTTGTTAGGCTGACAAGGCCTCGGACATCAGCCAGACTTGGGCCCAAATCCCAGCCCTGCCCTGTACACACTGTGTCATCCAGACAACATTCTTCAGCTCTTGACTTCAGTCTGCTCATTTAGAAAATGGTCAGAATAGCCACCAGTGAAGCTGCTTTTATTACTACATTTTTTTAGCACATTATAATTGCCCAGGAAATGTTAGTCACCTTCCCCTCCTCTCCCCAGCTGTTGAAGATTTTGACAAGCGGAGAGAACCAGGGGATGTTTCAGTGTAAAACAGGAGCAGACTCCCTTTTGTGGGGCCAGTCTTACTTTGATGTTGAAAGTATTTCTATGGCTCCTTTATTGTCTACCCAAGTCTACCCTACAGTAACATTCTATTTTCTGACAAAAATAGGATTATTTCAAACACTTGGGTGCAGGGATGGAAGGGCAATTAGGAGCCCTGTGCTGGCCTAGCCCCAGCTGACCACGCACATGAAAGGGGCACACAGCCTGTGGACAGCCTATACATGAGGCCACAGACTGCTTCATGGGGTGTTCTGACCCCTTTATCATCTGTCTTGGGCCTCTAATAACATTCCGTCATGACTCAAACATCTAGAGCCAGTTTATAGTGACATCTAACCACAGCTTTGTCACGTTACTCAAGACACTAGGAGGTTGACCCCACTAGGGGTCAAGAAGAGCATTAAAGAACAAGTAAGTATCATATCTAGAGAGACAGGCTTTCCCCCTCAGGAACTTAGCAAACATTACAGATTCTCTCCAATTACTGCAGTGTGTTTGTGTGTGTGTGTGTGTGTGTGTGTACATATATTCATCTTTGAAAATGCAACCCACAGACTTCTGTATGACTGCCTTGAGAAGAACAGACAATCTTTGAGGGTGATGAATATATTTTCCCTTTTGAGGACAAACTGTTAACAACCTAGTGAGTTTCAGGGGTCTTCAGGCTCATCCTAGGGACTGGACCAAGGTTATGCCATAAGAAGTACATTCATCCTGAAAGTTCTGCTGGACAGTGTCAGATGAGATCAAACCAAGGTCTCCAGCTGAGAAGAGAGGGGCTTGAGGAGAAAGCTTAGATATAACAGGAAATGTCTGAAATCACTCTTCTAGGAAATGAAATAGATATTCCAGTAGACACATGCTGTATCATCAAGAGAAATGATTCCAGGCACACTGACTCTAAAGAACTGTGGCAGGCAGCTCTGCACAGAGGCTCTGGAGTGAGTCTCTGCCATTGTAGTCCTCACTCCCCCTTCCCCTAGACTCACTGTGTGACCTTGAATAAACACTGCTCAGTGCCCCTCTCTTCTTGTGTGTAAACAGGATAACAACAGTGCTTCCCTGATTAGGATTATTAGTAGAAATGTGACAAAAACTTCTTACCTGGCACATAAGAAATGTTGAGTTCTTTTCAGTATATACTTAAAGTGCCAGGACAACGTTATGCACAGCAGGTAGATTTTCCTTTGATATGCAAGAAAGTTTTTCTTCTATTACTTACACAAAGTGGTAGAAAAGAATGGAAGGTGGTAGCACAGTAGAAGTCCACAGCATCTGTACAAAACTCAGGCACTGGAGTGAGGGGAGGCCCATCGCCTTTGTCCCAGATGTAGAGGGCAATCTGTCAGGACAGGAGCCAGCAGCAAATGAAAGAACTCACTGCCAATGCCACAAGTGTAAGAAGGTACAAAATATCTCAAAGAAAAGCAGATCACATCTTCTATAGGGCATTTAGACTGAAGCATATCAATCTGACAATATTCAACAGATTTTTTTTACTTATAAAAATAGTAACTTCACATTGATCAATCTAATCTTTCATTAACAAGAATCCATATTCTGACTGCCAAACAATTCCAGAGTTGTCATAAGCAATTTCAGGGAAGCTATTTTAAGGTTTCTAAAGCGTTGCAGTGAAAGATAAAAGAAAATATTACCATGATTTTGGTTTTCTACAATACAGTACCTACATACCTTGACTAACTGACTTGCTGAAAACATCTAAAACTGTTGGATAAAATATCTTTAAAATGATTTTAATTGGATTGCTAAAGTGCCACAGAAGTATAGAACTTATGAGGAAGAATATGCAAAAGGAAGAGCCTAGGAAAAAGGGCATCGAGGGTAGTTTTACTCAGTAGATAGGTGAACTCTGGTGATGCTGAGTTTCTGATAAGAGTTAAGAAAATAAAGCCTATGATGTACCCAAGGTGAGAGATGTCTAAGAGCAAACCCCACATAAAGCTGGGACTTTGGAGCTAGATGGAGGGGAAAAATCATCTCTAAATTTTCTCTGAGATTTTGTAATCAAAACCCAGGCTTCCCTATTTTGTGTCACCAACATGGTCCAAAACACTTCAAACAGTAATTCAAAGAAGCCCCAAGTCAACATAACCCTGTAGCAGCAGGAAAAGCAAATGTAAACCCTTCCTGGGGAACTCCCACCATACTGTAGGGCTCAAAAGATTACCACAGATACAGTTCTAAGCAAGACTACTCAGAGAAAAATCACAAAAAGCACAAAGATGTGAGCTGACAACCAAGAGCCAGCAGACACAACATAATCAGACCCAAAAGACTGCAGGTCTTGGAATTATCAAACACAGATTATAAAATTACTATGTTTAATATGGTTTCATAAAGAAGAGAAAACTTTCAAGCTTCAGCAAAAAATTCTTTTCAAAGATTATATAAAATAAGCAAATTTGAGAAAGAAAGGACTAAACTTCTAAAAATAAAAAATAATTAAAAGGAAAAAAATTAATGGTTAGGATAAGCATTAAATTTAAATTAAAAATTAAATTTATTTACCTGCATATTAGACACAGGTAAATAAAAAATAGTGAACTAAAAGATGAAAGCTCTTAAACTGTCTGAGATGCAGCGCAACAAAAACAGAGGTGGGAAATGTAAGAGAAAAATTCAGAATGTAAGCACACCGTTGGAAAGATCCAGGAGGAGATAACAGAGAGAATGGTGGTGAGAATATACTTGAGAAGACAATGGCTGAGAATTTCTGAAAATTACTTAACAATTCTATTATACAAAAGGTCAGTGGGATGCCTGGGTGGCTCAGCTGTTAATAGTCTGCCTTCATTCAGCTCAGGGCGTGATCTTGGAGTCCCATATCAGGAGCCTGCTCCTTCCTCTGCCTCTCTCTGTCTCTCATGAATAAATAAATATAATCTTTTAAAAAAAAAATCAGCGAATCCTATGCAGATGGTAAAAAAAAATAAAATCTACATCTAGACATCTCATAGTGAAACTGCAGAACACCAAAGACAAACAATCTTAAAAGCAGACAGAGAGAATGCCAGGATACCTACAAAGAAGCCATGTAAGACCATTTTTTTTCCCACAACAATAACAGAAGCCAGAACACAGTGCAGTAAGGCCACTGTGATGACAGAAAATGACTGACAACCCAGAGTTGTAAACACATGGTAACTATGTTTCAAGAACAAAGTTAACATAAATGTTTTTAAAGGAAAAAAGATGAGAATTTACCACCTCATTGAAGGAAATGCTAAAAGATGTGCCTCAGAAGAATAAAAATGATCCCATCTGGGTTTAGCCACTCTGGAAAGCACTATGGATGTGTCTCAAAAAGTTAAAAATAGAGCTACCCAACAACCCAGCAATTGTACTACTAGGTATTTATCCAAAGGATACAAACATAGTGATCCAAAGGGGCACATGCACCCCAGTGTTTATAGCAACAATGTCCACAGTAGCCAAACTAAGGAAAGAATCCAGATGTCCATCAACAGATGAATGGATTAAGAAGATACTGTGTGTGTGTGTGTGTGTGTGTGTGTGTGTGTGTGGAATAAAATGGAATATTACTCAGCCATCAATAAAAAATTAAATCTTACCATTTGCAATGACCTAGATGAAACTAGACAGTATTATGCTGAGTGAAATAAGTCATTCAGAAAAGACAAATCATATGATTTCACTCATATGTGGAATTTAAGAAATAAAACAGAAGATCATAGGGGAAAAGTAAAATAAGATGAAATCAGAGAGGGAGACAAACCATAAGAGACTCTTACCTCTAGAAAGCAAACTGAGGGTTGCTGGAGGGGAGTAGGGGTAAGGGGATGGGGTAACTGGGTGATGGGCATTAAGGGGGAGGGTACTTGATGTCATGAGCACTGGCTGTTATATGCAACTGATGAATCACTGAGTTGCACTCTACCTCGGAAGCGAGTAATACACTATATGTTAATTAACTGAATTTGAATTTTAAAAATGTCCAAAAAAATTATCCCAGCCAGCAGGTCTTAGAAGTTAGATGGGATACCAAGCAAAGACGCTGGGAAATATACAGTTAAGCTAATACAGACTATGAACTGTATAAAATAAAGGTAATATTGGAGGAGTTAAAAAAAGAGAACAAAAATACTAGACAACAAAGAGCATATAAATTGTGAGGGAAATAATCAGAGTTCAACTATTCTACATCTGCCAAATTTTTAGGACATCAATTAATTGGCCATTGTCAGGTTAAGAATGCATGTTAAAATATTTAAAATAACCAGTAAGGTACAAACATGGGGACTGAACTTCCAAAATAGCAGGGGAGGAAAAAATGGAAAAAGAAAGAACAAAAAATAATCTATATAGAAAGTATGGAAGTTTTTTAAAAAAGTTCCAGAGAGAAAATGGGGGGAAGGATAAAATGAAGTGTTAGAAATCAGTTCAAATATAATGGTAATTGTGTTCAATGTAAGTGTAAATTTTGCTACCTGGTTTAAAGACAAAGACTGGCAAACTGAGAGAAAAAAAAAAAAGATAGTTCTAAGAGAAATTCATCTAAAAGAGGACACAAAAGGGTTGCAAGAAAAAGATGAGAGACAATTATGAAGCAAATACTAAAAGAAAGCTAGCATAGACATAATCACCGCAACAAAATACATGCAAGGGCAAAGAGCATGACAAGAGATAAAGATGATTTCATACGAAGATGTAAAGATTCTAAACTTACATGCATCTAATTAATACGTCGGAAAAAAAATACAATGTCAGACTAGAAAAAACAAGAGTTGGTAGTTACAAGGGGAAGCACTGTCAAATGCACCATTATTTTTTTTTATTTCCTTTTTTTTTTTATAAATTAATTTTTATTGGTGTTCAATTTACCAACATACAGAATAACACCCAGTGCCCATCCCGTCAAGTGTCCCCCTCCGTGCCCGTCACCCATTCACCCCCACCCCCCGCCCTCCTCCCCTTCCACCACCCCTAGTTCATTTCCCAGAGTTAGAAGTCTTTATGTTCTGTGTCCCTTTCTGATATCTCCCACACATTTCTTCTCCCTTCCCTTATATTCCCCTTCACTATTATTCATATTCCCCAAATGAATGAGAACATACACTGTTTGTCCTTCTCCGATTGACTTACTTCACTCAGCATAATACCCTCCAGTATTATTATGGAAGATTTTCCCATTCCTCTCTTAATAAATGATAGATCAAGCAGACAAAAGTAGAAAGAAGGGAGGGAGGGAGAGAGAGAAGGAAGGAGGGAACAAGGAGAAGGAAGGTTAACTTATTCGATTAAATCTATTTCTTCTTTAATAAAGAGAATATTACACCCCCCAAATTATAGCATATATATCTTTTTCTCTACTCACGAAAATTTAACATGAACCAGGCCACCACATAAGCCTAAAAATATTCCTAATTACTGTTATATAGATACAATAATACTAAGCTAGAAATCAGTAACACAATAACAACAGATGCAAATATACTGGGTCACAAAGAAAAATGTAGTTTTTAAAGTGGATCACAGTACCAAAAAAAAAAAAGTTTAAAAGCCTCTGCCCTAGAGAAACTCCTGCCAATGATCATGATGCACATAAAAAAAAAAAAAAAACACCTCATAGAAGTAATGACTGTAATAGCAGGAAACCCATAGCAATGCAGAAGCCCACCACCAGGAGAATGGATAAGTAAACTGGCATAGCCATAGAAGAGACTGAAGCAGAAAGTGGAAATAAGTTTGTTAGAGCTGCTGCACAGAAAAACATGGATGAGTTTCAAGTTAGAACAATACTCATGGTACAAATCTGTTTATATGAAGTCCAGAAGGATGCAAAATTGCATAATGTGTTATTCAGAGATACAGTCATATGCTATAAAATATGAAGAAAAGGAAGAGAGATTTCAAAAAAATGTTTACTAGTAAGAGTGAAAGGGACAAGGAAAGTCACATTCAGGTAGCTTCAACGTGAGGTGATGTTCCAGCTCTTAAGCCAGGTGATTACATCATAGATATTTTGACTGATCTTCATACCTTTCACATAAATTAGAAATACTCTTTCTATGTATTTAGTATCTAATAGATTCCCGAACCTGGGTATCTATACCAAAAAGTGCAATCTTCTTCAAAAATATCTAGGCAGACCTGTGCTTTTGATTAGTCATTCTTTCCTCTCTATGGAGAGGAAGAATGATTTTTACATGTTTATTTCTCTTCCAATGAACTATTTCATTACATGCAAACATCCAAGAAGGTAAAGCCTTGGGATCCCTGGGTGGCACAGCGGTTTGGCGCCTGCCTTTGGCCCAGGGCGCGATCCTGGAGACCCGGGATCGAATCCCACATCGGGCTCCCGGTGCATGGAGCCTGCTTCTCCCTCTGCCTATGTCTCTGCCTCTCTCTCTTTCTCTCTCTGTGACTATCATAAATAAATAAAAATTTAAAAAAAAATTTTTTTTAAAAAAAAGAAGGTAAAGCCTTGTGTATGCCCTTTTTGTTCCTGGCAGGCTGCCAGCACTGCTGGACTGAGTTACGTGTCAAGACCGATCTAGCTGTCCTAAGATACAGATTCTTGCAGAGAAAGGTGGGGCTGTTTTAGGCAGTCAGTTATGCTTGTGAATGAAACCCACAAAGAAATCTTCTTAACAATGATTCAGTAATGATTAATGATGGGACACCTGCCACCTGCCTTCAGGATGGTGGGTCACAGATGTCCACTAAATACCAAGGATGCTCGGGTCTCAACTGGTATGCCATGGCTGCCTCTTGGGACCAACTGGCTCAATTCTGCCCCAGAGGGTCAAGCACAGAAACAAGACCAAGACATGTGTACAACCAAAGTACCAAATAAGAGCAAATATCCTTTAAATGGCAGTTTTGCATGTTTTTAGAAATCCACCTTTGCACCCAGTCTACCTAGCTTTAAAAAAATACAAATATTAAGAATCACAGATGCAATCTCTTGCACTGCTCCTTCTCCACCTACACGATTAAAATGAGCTTACAGAGAAAGACCTAATTTTCGGGAGAATTACCTTGGTGGGGAGAAGATGTATAGATGCACTGGGGGAGGGCACACTGTTAGGGAATAAAAAACACCTTTTATATCAAAATACATGGATTCTTGATTACTAAGACTTTTAACAAAGAAGCCATGACGTACCTCATGTTTTAAGTCTATTGTAAAGTCGGATTTCAGGGATTCACTCTTTAACCTCTTGGTAAGCCTAGAAAATAGATACAATTTGAGGTGGTTTTTTTTTTCTTAATCAGAAGAAGCATTGAACAAGAACAACACATTGAGACTTTCTAATGTTTGAAAACAGATTAAAAGCACAATTTTTTTTATTTTATTTTTTTTTAAAAGCACACATTTTAAGATAAAATTAAGAGTTTCACATTTCCTTGAGGCAAAGCCCTGTGAAAATGGAGTTATTTGTTGAGCAGGAAATGAAGGCAAGCCTTTTTGCAAATGTAGCATTGTTTCAACATCTGGCAAATAAGATAAACTACAACACAATATAGTAAATGCCTTAAAAACAAAGCCACAAAGTTTACTGACTCCTGAAAGTATATTGACTCCTGACAGAGAAAGAAGACAGAAAAGATTTAAAAAAAAAAAAAAAAAAAAAGCTTGCATGACACTGAAACAGAAGTTGCTACTTTTTAGTCTCCTCCTTTTCATAATCCAAATGTGTTTTTAGGGGAAGAAAGCATATGATTTCTGGAAAGAAAAAACATTTCAAGTCCTTTTCTTGCTTAAAGAAATCTTCACTGGCTTCTTGCCATGCCGATGAGAGTCCTTCCACTGTCCCCTAACTCCTCCATACTTACCCTACCTACTTATGCTATACCTACAGCACATACCTGCCCGCTGGTATCTCTTGCTGTACATCTGCCTAGTACACTCACACCCAACCTTTACCTGGCAAACCTTTGGTCAAGATCAAACTCAAGGGTGCCTCTCCTGGAGAAGGTTGCCAGACTTGCCCACCGGCATAAATGGAAAATTCCTTTGCTCCTAGAATAGGAAGCAAGCCCCATTAACTTTATCAAACATGTTACATCCTGTTGTGTATACGTGCCTCTCTGTGCTATGGAGTCTTTGTATCCCCAGCACTGCCACCGTGCCTAGCCAAAAGGAGCACTCAATGAGCTGCCTGAATAAATGAGGGCAAGATATTCTTTGATTCCAAGCTGCAGGAGGTAGACTTACATACCAAGACCACTGAAATGCCATACGGTTCTATATCCATCACAGGGCTACAGGCTAGACCATTGGTTTCTATTACAAACCCCCTAGCACATATTTTAACTATAAAGATATAATAGTGGTTTTAAAAGGAAATGTAGTAATAAGTTTCAAACTCTTTACTGAGTTTTCAGCCTAGTTGAACCACAAAGATTTCTTTTAAAATTTACTTTTAATTAGAGGAAAGAAAGACACAGGTTATCACTTAAGTTTAGTATTAAAGTATTTGTCCAGGTGTAGATTATTAATGAAGCTTGGGGGCAGGTAGCTCCAAAAGCAGCCCAGGTAATCTCAGTCACATTCCTGCTCAATACCAGCCCACAGATTTTTCAGGAGGAGTGGGTGAGGATACATAAAGAGACAACGTTCTCAGAGACACTCCCAATATATGTTAAGAGAAAAAAAATCTGCCCTGGCGTGGATTCTCATCCCATTTGAAGCCTGCTCAGTTAGAGCCAGTTTTTATAAATAAACAGAATCAAGGTAATTTTGGAATCTGGACTTATGCCAAGTGCCTTCAAAATCTGATCAGACCACATTCAGATACCAAAGACAGAGAAAATCATAAACCTGCACCTCCTGCCACAGGCCAGGGGCACGGAGTTGTGGTGGGAACCCAGTGGTTTTGGCATCCGTTGTTAGATGGCCGTGCATCACAGGCCCCTTTTTTACTAGGCAATAAATACCAATATAATGCCTTGTTACCCTCAATGTGCTTTCTGATTTTTTGACTCTAAGTTTCTTTTTCATTCAATTCTTAAACATTTGTATTTGAGGGAGACCTCAGAGGGGCACGGACAGAATTTCATTAAGATGGACAATGACTAATTCAAAGACACACAAAGACATACACTGACATTTTTAAGTGGATGTGCCTGGCAGCCCATGAGGTCTACTATAACATTAAGTGATGGTTACCTCAGCATCAAGAAGGTCATGTGGACAAGTCTGCCTCTAACACCCTGAGCCTAAGTCAGTCAACTTACAAATGTGGTCAAGTCCTAAAAGTGTGCAGGGCGTCTACCGAATTTAAAAAGCAAGTCCTAAAAGTGGACACTAGGTTTCTCTTTTCTATACAACAAGGTAGCACGAGGGTTCTCCAAATGCTAATTTCAGTAACCAACAATGCCAAAAGAAAAAAAAAAATAAATAAGGTCAGAAATTCTAATTACTCAGATAAAATATTTCCTCATCAAATATTCAGTTCCTGGCAAACACTTGATATTCAGCTTTTCTATTTTTAGAAGACATTAAGTCATGTCCCAAAACACAAGCTCTAAAGACACAATCAGCAAGCCTGGAAACTTGCAACAGACAGGGGGCCCCTTCGACTCCACATTAGGAGAAGTTCCACTGAGTTTTACAGCCCCATTTGTAAGCCAGTGAAGACCATCTATTCCTGAGGGTTCACTGAAGAGACAGCACTGCAATCTTTCAGCTCTGGGGCTGGAGATCAGGATGCAGCCATTTTTATTTCGATCCTCTAAAAGAGGCACAGAAACCTTGGAGGAAACAAAAGCCACACAGAGCAACCAAAAACAGCTTACACTGAGCCCAGGCCTCTGGCAAAGGGCAGGGCAAATCCACCCAGGCACAGACACCTGAGAATCAGCATAGCAGGCCCCTCCTCCAGAAGACCAACTGGAAGAACAGGTGAACAGCAAATGTACAGGCCACACAGGATTGTAAAACTCCAGTACTAGGGGAAAATAATATATAGAATTCATGGGTTTTTTTTCTCACAATTCACTTATCTTTCAGTTTAAAATTTTCCTTTTTTTTCTTTTTTCCCATTTCAACTAGTTTATTTTTATCAACTCTTTGTTTTTTACATTTACATTTTATAGATATATTCTTCATTTTGGCTTCCTTTCACTGTTCAATTTTAATTTTGTATATATACATAGGTTTTGCTTTCTTTACAATTTGGTATGTAGTATCTTCTAACACACAGACCAAATTCACTCGGGGTCAAGTGGATCACCCTATTCTGTCCACCCTGTGGGATGATATTCTCTATTACCCCCATATATACACTTTTTTTTCTCTTTTTGTTTTTTTTTATTTTTTTTTCTGGTTTCTGACCTCTTGGGATTTGTCTAGTGTATTTCACTTGGGTCTTAGTTGATATTCTTGATAGTACTTACTTGTTCATCATCCATTCTTCTCTGGACAAAATGAAGGAGGAATTCACAACAAAAGAAAGAACCAAAGGTAATACTCTGCCACAGATCTGATCAATATGGATATAAGTCAAATGTCAGAGATGGAATTCAGGATAAGTATAAAATTAATAGTCGGGTTTGGAAAAAGCAAAAAAAAAAAAAACCCACTAGAGAATCTCTTAGTGCAGAAATGATACCTAATCAAGCCAAAATTATAAATGCTTTGAGATACAGTCTAAACTGGATGCTCTAACAGCTAAGGTAAATGAGGCAGAATTAAGTAACATAGAAGACAAGTTGATGCATAGGAAGGAAGCTGAGGAAAGAGAGAAAAACAACTAATGAACCCTGAGGGGAGGCTTCAGGAAATCATCAATGCCATAAAATGAAAAATATTTGAATTACTGGAAACCCTGAGGGAGATGAAAAGAGAGAGGGCCACAGGTATATTTGAGCAAATCATAGCTGAGAATTTCCTTAACCTGGGGAAGGAAACAGGCATTCATGCTAAAGAGGTAGAGAGGACTCCTCCCAAAATCAATAAAAATAGATCAACACCCCAACATATAATAGTGAAGCTTGAAGATTTCAGAGATAAAGAGAAAATCTTGAAACCAGCTTGAGACAACAGGTTCCTAACCTACAGGGTAGGAACATTAGACCAGCATCAGACCTATCCACAGAGACCTGACAGGCCAGAAAGGGCTGGCATGATAATATACAGGGTAATAAATGAAAAAAACATGCAGCCATGTTTATCTAGCTTGGATAAAATATTGGATACTTTATCCAATACTTTATCCAGCAAGGCTGTCATTCAGAATGGAAGGAGAGATACAGGGCTTCTAGGACAGAAACTGAAAGAATCTGTCACCACCAAGCCAGCCCTGCAAGAAATATTAAGGGGGATCCTGTAACTGAAGAGAGAGCCCAAGAGTAATATCAACCAGAAAGAAACAGAGACAATCTACAGAAACAGGGTATTGTTTAATAAAACCTGTATTGTATTACAAGTAATACAATAGCACTAAATTCATACCTTTCAATAGTTACTCTGACTGTAAATGGGCTAAATGCTCCAATCAAAAGACATAAAGACATATTGGATAAAAAAGGAAGACCCATCAATGCTGTGTAGAAGAGTCATTTTAGACGTAAAGACACCTCCAGACTGAAAGTAAGGGGGTGGATAATCATTTACTATGCTAATGGACCCCAAAAGAAAGCTAGAGTAGCAATCCTCATATCAGACAAATTAGATTTTAAACCAAAGACTAGTCAGAGATGAAGAGTGACACTATATCATACTTATAGGGTCAGCTCAACAAGATCTAACAATTATAAATATTTGTGCTCCTAATTTAGGAACAGCCAAATTAATTTAATTTTGATCAACCAAATTAATTTAATAACCAAAATTTCATAACCAAATAAAGAAACACATTGAAAATAACACATTTATAGTAGGGGACTTCAACATACCACTCAAAGCAATGCACAGATCATATAAACAATGGACAGATCATATAAGTAGATGATCAATAAGGAAACAAGGGCAGGGATCCCTGGGTAGCGCAGCGGTTTAGCGCCTGCCTTTGGCCCAGGGCGCGATCCTGGAGACCCAGGATTGAATCCCACGTCGGGCTCCGGGTGCATGGAGCCTGCTGCTCCCTCTGCCTGTGTCTCTGCCTCTCTCTGCCTCTCTCTGCCTCTCTCTCTCTCTCTCTCTCTCTCTCTGTGTGTGTGTGTGTGTGTGTGTGACTATCATAAATTTTAAAAAATTAAAAAAAAAAAAAGATACAATAAAAAA